TGTGTGTGTGTGTGTGAGCGTGGGTGGGTGGGTGTGAGTGTGTGTGTGTGGTTGTGTGGGTGTGGGTGTGTGTGTGTGTGTGTGAGAGAGAGAGAGAGAGAGAGAGAGAGAGAGAGAGAGAGAGAGAGAGAGAGTGTGAGTGTGTGTGTGTGTGTGTGTGTGTGTGCGTGTGTGCGTGTGTTTTGAAATACCGCTTATGACAATAGTATTGAAGTTGATATTGACTTGCTGGTATTTCATATCATCCTTAGTTCTGTGCTAAAAAGGTGTTTCCTAGAGTAAATATTCAATGTATATGTGCTTTATTTGCATGTATTTGTAAAATGTTACTTCACTTCACTTCGAACACTAAGTCTTGTTAGATTGGTCAAGCAAAAACAACAAGTGCCAGTATCAATTCAGTCTAAAAATGTATTTTTAACACAGTCACCTGACGCGTATAAGCTAAACGATACAAGTTAGTGCAGTTTGTATACTTTTGCTCTTGTACGAAAGGTTCCTGTGTTCTAAGTTACATTTAGACACTTCTGGAGTCCTCGTAATACACTAAAATTTGCCATAGCTTTACACAAGTAACCTGTTTTATAAAGTTATGCTAAGCAATCTACAATATCAACGACATTTATACATGTGAAATATATGCTTTTTAATAGTTTTCAATGATGAGATGCATATATATACTATTGTTTTTTTTCCTAATAAACCTCTTCACTTGTTAAACTGAACGGTGACAATTATGCCGATTTAGTAACGTTTTACGTTTCTATTGCATTTGGTTTCTATTTATCCAAATGGGGCAAATCTGCTTGATAAATCGACTTATATTTTTCTTAATAATGGCCGAAATACTAGTTGTTATGGAATGTAAAGCGAGTAGATCTACAGAAGCAGTGTTCTACACCTGATCTCTCGATACACGGAACGGGAGCAGGCCGCTCAAATTTATCGGAAAGGGTGAGTGGAAGTGTTTGGAAAATTTACCCAGACAATGGTCTTTATTTCAATTAAATTCGAACATTACTTCAAACACTGATCATTAGTGTACAAATCTATGACATTTTGAATCCAAATGACATCGTTGAAGGTATTTGGTTAGTCATTGAACTTTTTACACTGTATATTATCTATAAAGTGTTTTCTGCGCTTTCTTTAACTATTTGACACAGTAAGTAATGATTAGTGACGTCTATTGAAGACATATGTGAGTGTAAGATTTCATTAACTCGCGCAAATGCTGTTTTTTATGATATGGTTTGTCAATTTTTGGTACAAAAAACACGATATCTAGTGCCAAATAATCATACAGAAACTATAGCTGCAGGAACCGTAGCTTTTCGGTCCGATCATTATTTATTATTATTATTATTATTGGGCCGATAATAAAAAAAAAAAAAAGATAAAAAAAAAATCGACCGGTAAGTTTTTTGGGGAAGTGATCGGATCTAGAAGCTACGGTTCCCGCGGCTAATAGAACCTATTGTTCTTTTTGTCCGTTTATCTGTGTGCATAACTTGTGCCTAACGTTTTTTTGGTCGTGTGCTTTCTTGTGCTACTTTTAAATCAACAACCTTAAAACTTAATATTAACATAATTATTAAATAATTATATACGTCTCTGATATTACTGCATAATGTTTGATATGGTGAACCAATTCAATATTTCTGATTTTAAAACGACTTTAAACAATCAAATCAGAGACGTTTATGTAATGGATACGTCTCTGTTAAAAATCTGTATTGTGTTTTAGTAGGTCTTCATACATCATATTTTTAGAGGTAACCATCCGAGATAATTCGATAGTAAGTTTTATGGTTGTTATTAAGAAACCTCCAGAGAGTCTCCAAATAATCAATCAGATTATTTATTATTCGTACCTCCAATACTGGAGAGTTCCGCGTTAGCGGAATATTGCACCACTGTGTAATGAGAATATCTCGGCTAAAATCTACAAACATCGCGGAAATGTGATATATTCACTTGTCATTACTGAAACACTTATTTAGATAAGGTATCCAACAAACTTTTCCACGATGTATGGACAAGATGAAGGTAACATAAACCAGAAAATATTCATAAAATAAAACCTTTGTTTACCTTTTAAAATTCAAAAATGGCGCTTTTGCGGTTTCCGGAACCAGATATCTTTAGCACTGCTAATATGTATATATAACAATTATTTCCGTACTATGTTAACTAATTTAAACAATTAGATAGTATTTAAAGACAGTCCACCCGTTGTCAAATGCAAAAATTAAATAAAATTTGCGAAAAACCATAAAATACCCTACCAGTGCAGTAGTGTTGAAGTTTCATTTTGAAACGCATCAGTCAGTTGATTTCTCATGATCCAAACTGGTTGCCTGAGAGTAATACGTTTGAAAAATTTCGCACTTGACATCAGTTAGCTTTTCTTTAGGCATACGGCGAAGCATATACAATCTATATGTGATACTCCATAGACTGAGAGACGAGAATGGCTATCATGAATATGGGATACATATAATGATTAGTGTATCTGTATGTATAATTGTATACGAAACGTGATATTTATACACACACATACATATGATTGTGGGTTTGAACACCTTGACTTGAGTGAGTCCAAACCAGCAATGTTACTCCAAACTACCCAGTATGCTGCTCAGCAGAATGATTAAAAGGGAAATTACCTCAAGCTAAAATGAGACTATAATAATAATACTTTATTTACCGCCGGTACAATTTTTAACAACCAAACATCAGCTTTGTAGAGCTCTTATTACGACGCAGCTAAGTGAACAAATGGTGTTTTCGTGGTGGAGGAAAACCCATGTGGGAAAACCACCGTGCCATCGGAGGGATAACAATTAACCCTATCCGACATCACTCTCTTTTTTCCGCCACCGCTGGGTATCGAACTGGAATTCTTGGGAGAGCAAGTGGTCTGAAGCTTGCACTTGATTGCACACAGTAGTACAATCAGGTTGGGGAAAACTGCAACTTGCGTATATTACGCAAACTTGCCTATAATACGGCAGTTGGAGTATGGATTTGTTACTTGTATTGAACAAATATAATATTTTATACCAACCCTAACACTTATTTGTAAAAAAGGGTTTATTGAAAAAAACTTACTAGAGTTAGTACATTGTTGACATCGCAAATGTCCCCAGGCTTGATCGGTTGTTTTCTATACTATTATAAAAAACCAATATCTGCTGTAAAAATAGAGTGATTGGCTAGTAGGATTTTTCAAAATCTGCCTTTTGGCTTAAATTTCTGTAGAAATTACCCTTGGCAACAGTGGAAAAAAAGAGCGTTTACTTTATGCACAAAATACTGATATGCTAAATGATTTTGTGATGTAATGTTGACTATACATATCATAGTTAATTTGAAATCATAACTTTCACCATTGCAGAGATGGAGGACGAGACTGATGATATCACTCCCGATCTCTGGCAGGAAGCTTGCTGGATTGTCATCAGCTCATATTTTGATGAGAAGGGATTGGTAAGGCAACAGCTGGATTCCTTTGATGAGTTCATCCAGATGTCTGTACAGCGTATTGTGGAAGACTCGCCGCAGATAGACCTACAGGCTGAGGCACAGCACACGTCAGGCACTATAGAAACCCCTGTAAGTTGGTTACCATAGAAACTTGTAACTCAAGTACTATAGAAACCACTTTAAGTTGGTTACCATAGAAACCCACTCAAGTTAGGCACCGTAGAAACCCCTGTAAACCAGGTACCAATGGAATACCTCTGATTCAGTTACCAGAAACCCCTGAAGTGGGGCACCATGAAAACCCCTATAAGTCATGATCAGGTATTATAGAAATACTTGTAATTCAGGAACCATATAGAAATCCCAGAAGTGGGGCACCACAGAAACACTTGAAGTCCAGCACCATAGAAAACTCTTAAGTGAGGTACATGTACCAGATAAACCCCTATAAATCATCAATGTTATTCACATCACATTTACCTTCATGTCTTCATCCTAAAAACTTTCTGGCACTAGTTGATTCTGAAAAGTTTAGTTGGCATGGTATTTTTTCAGAAATCTTCATAAGACTATGACTTGGTATTTAGTAGATGTGCCACAAGAACCTCCTTGGCTGGACAATGAGTTCTATGAAAAAGTAGTAAATAAGAAGATTTTAAGTTTTCATGTAACAGGATTATTAATTAAGGTATGTTTCACATTTCAAAGGTTGTGCTCTAGTTTTATCATCCAAAAGCAAATACCTTTATTTATATTATATATTATATTATACTATATTATTGTCTTTTTTTCTTTCCTTTTAGCCAAGATATCTTCTAAAGTTTGAACAGATTTATTTATCAAAGCCAACTCATTGGGAAAAAGATGGTGCGCCAAGTCCCATGATGCCTAATGAAGCGAGACTCCGAAATCTAACGTATGTGGCTGCAATAGCTTTAATCTGGAAATTTTGAAAAAGTTTTGCATGGTTTTTTCTTCACATGTATGAAAAATATTCATGTATTTATTACAATTCATAAATATTTTACTAATATGTGAAATCTTCTTTATTTAAATTTCTATTATCTGATTACAGAAGAATAAAATCAAATTCCCTTTATTGAAATTGAAGATTTCTGTATGAAATTGGACTACCAGGGTTATTGTAAAAAAACCTTTCAATTCTATCAACAAAGTTTAATAGTCTTGATGAATGGGAATGACTAAAATCACTCTTCAAGATCAGTGATAGGATAGATTTAGTTGGGCTTTGAAAAACATTGATATTTTACTTGTTTTAATATGCAATGGAAACAAATATATTAATATAGATATTGGACCGTACAGCTATGATGAAACAGTTTCTGATTTCTCCATTTATACAGGTACTCTGCCCCTCTGTATGTGGACATCACTAAAACTGTGGTGAAGGAGGGGGAGGACCCCATTGAAACCACTCACCAAAAGACATTTATTGGGAAAATACCCATCATGTTACGTTCTACATACTGTTTACTGAGTGGGCTCACAGATCGTGATTTGACAGAGTTAAACGAATGTCCGCTCGATCCAGGAGGATATTTCATCATCAATGGATCAGAAAAAGTACTCATTGCTCAAGAGAAAATGGCAACAAACACAGGTATTTCAAAAAATGTGTACTAGCCAGTCATTACAAAAAATCAAACTCTCTTCTTGTATGCTGCAGTTCAATTTGTCATGAGTTTTAAAGAATATTCAGGGTTCGATAACAATGGTTCAGCTATCTAGAATCTGTTTGGGCTGCCTTGCTGTCCTAGATAGGCACACATATTTTGGGGTCTTTTGACTCCTTGCTTTCTATCAGCCTATGCCTGCCTGGCAGGATTACAACATTCTTGAGGGTTGAAAAAGTTTCCAGCAGTCCTGCAGGTTACCTGTAAAGTAAAGTTAGTATGAAGTTGAACTCTGGTATTTGAAATTATTATTTATAGAACATTAAAATTCCATATCTGACTGATATGGATCCCTGGAGCATGCAAAGTTTACTTGATTTGGATTTCTATTAAAATTGATCTCTTTATCTTTTCTTTTGCAGTGTATGTATTTCAACAGAAAGATTCAAAGTATGCTTTTAAGACAGAAATTCGGTCGTGTTTGGAGCATTCTTCTAGACCTACGAGTACACTGTGGGTGAACATGATGGCTAAAGGAGGAGGGGTAGGTCTACTTAATGCCAGGCTTGCATTGTTTTATTGAATATTTACCCAGTTCTCTTAAACGCTGCCATGATGAAGAGTACTTTTCAATGTTCTCACCAAGTTTTTGAACGGGTGGTTGATTTAAAAAAATAGCTGGTTGAATGTGACAAGTTCTAGTATCACAAATAGTCCATTTCCTGGAAAATAGCTGGCTCAAAGTTGAGAAAGTTGAGGCTGTTTTTGCCGGCAGCGGGCTTTTAACGAGAACACTGCTTTTTACATTTGTATAGCCTTTCAGAACCTCTCTGATGTTTCCCTTACTTCAACAGAGGAATCGACTGACAATTCAAAATATTACAGTAAAAGTTACTCTATTGGAAACACATTGCACATGAGCTTTTTACAGAAAAATAATTTTCACATGAAAATGCAGAACGTTTCAACTGTTTCATCTCTTTTTATGAATTGTTGCAGTTAGTTGTACTACTACTTAATTATAAAAGAAAAATGTGTTCAGAATGAAGGTGACTTAGGCTATCTCAAAGCTTTAAACTATTGTATGCTGTAAATACCAAACATTTTGTGTAATATTTATTGACGAGTAAATTCACACAGAGATGATAATAGATTCACATATCTCACGAATGTTGAGACATATTTAAACAGGGCAGAACAGAGCAAGTTAAAGGTATGTACAGATATATAATGGTTTGTGTTATACTGATGATTGTGTTATGTTTGGTAGGGAGCCAAGAAGAGTGCCATAGGACAGAGAATCATCGGTATTCTGCCGTACATTAAACAGGAGATTCCTATCATCATTGTGTTCCGAGCCCTGGGCTTTGTGTCAGACAGAGACATTCTGGAACACATTATCTACGACTTTGATGACCCAGAGATGATGGAAATGGTTTGTTGTTTTGTATTATAAACCGTGAACCTTTACAAATGTTAACTGTTATTTTTGAAAAAGCATTAAAAAGAATTTATGTGCAAATAAAGAACAGAATGTTTTTGTAAATATACTGTAGGCAATGCTATAACATTTGAAGCTGTTACAAATCATTGTGAATGAACTGTTGTGTATGTCTTTATTAAGTCACCTGTGACTGTTGTGTATGCCTTTATTAGGTCACCTGAGACTGTTGTGTATGCCTTTATTAGGTCACCTGAGACTGTTGTGTATGCCTTTATCAGGTCACCTGAGACTGTTGTGTATGTCTTTATTAGGTCACCTGAGACTGTTGTGTATGCCTTTATTAGGTCACCTGAGACTGTTGTGTATGCCTTTATTAGGTCACCTGAGACTGTTGTGTATGCCTTTATTAGGTCACCTGAGACTGTTGTGTACGCCTTTATTAGGTCACCTGAGACTGTTGTGTATGCCTTTATTAGGTCACCTGAGACTGTTGTGTATGCCTTTATTAGGTCACCTGAGACTGTTGTGTATGCCTTTATTAGGTCACCTGAGACTGTTGTGTACGCCTTTATTAGGTCACCTGAGACTGTTGTGTACATTTTTTTTATTTTTACTTTATTGGTAAAATCCTTTGTGCTGTTTATTGTACTTTCTGGGTAAAATTCTTTATTTCGTTTTCATTTCTTGGTAAAACTCTGTTTTGCTTTCGACTTTTAGGTGAAGCCCTCTCTTGATGAGGCATTTGTGATACAGGAGCGAAATGTGGCACTCAACTTCATAGGGTCTCGTGGTGCTCGGCCAGGTGTGACAAAGGAAAAGAGAATCAAATATGCACGGGAAATTCTGCAAAAAGAAATGTTACCTCACGTTGGTGTCAGTGACTTCTGTGAGACCAAGAAAGCTTACTTCCTGGGGTAAAAGTTCTTTTTAGATATCAATATATCGATGATAGTATTCTGTTGCATTTCAGATTTGCATGTGAAAAAGTGTATCAAGTAACCTGCTAATATGCCGGTAGACATGATGCAATGTATATTTTAGACATTTTAAAAGCTGTTTGGAAAAGAAGCGAGCCGCTTAGTAGCAAATGTATTTGGATCTTCAAGTTCGGTTCCATAGACCTAGGTCAGAAACAAAACAAAATTATATTACTGGTATAAGTTAAATTACAAGATCAGCACATACTGCAAGATACTCTGTACAAGTTATCGTTCCTGTTGCATAGGAGTTGCTGAGAAGCAGTCTCACAATTATCACAGTATTTGAACAAAATGTTAAACTTGGTAAAAAGTAATGTGAACAGTAATTTATAGCATTCCTGAACATGATAAAACATAAGTGTGTGATATTTGTGACATTGCATGATATCATGATTCATACTCAGGAATTTTGAAGTGCATGGGCTCTTTACATGAGGCTTCTATTTTTCCTTTGGTTGAAATTTTCTCTTTCATTATGCTGTGTATAATCAAGCACAAAATAGACTCAGTGGACAAAATAAGCCCTTTCTGAGAATTTGTCTACATGGAGGAACATTATACTATTGTACAAACATACAAAAGTTTTCATACAAATTGAGAAGCATTTTGTGAACCTGTGAAATGTTGAATCAAGGAAAAAAACTCATCTCAACCCGAAAGTTAATCCTACATTTCGTTATTCTTACACACCAGTTCCATTTAATTTTCATCAAAGCAGAATAATCCTAAGATGTTACAAATCTCAAATTCTAACTTTTCCGTATAAAATTTTAGGTACATGGTACATCGCCTGCTTCTGGCTGCCCTGGGTCGGCGTGAGGTGGACGACAGAGATCACTACGGCAACAAGAGACTTGACTTGGCTGGACCCCTACTTGCTTTCTTGTTCAGAGGGTAAGGTTTATATACATAACTGCTAAGGTGTGTTTGGGGGATCACTGCCTCTGTCAGTGTACATGCAAGGCTACAGTTGTCTAATATCTAGATCCACTTCATCTTATAGATGTTGAAAGTACAGTAATCTGAATAGATTAATTCAGAACCAAACATTTTGCTTGGTTTTATCGAGTTCAAAGTCCTAACAGAGAACTGACCGATTTGTGAATTACACAAAATCTGTTTACAAAGGTATACACACTAGTTAAAGGTCTTTTTTAGGCACATTTCTTGATTATATAACGTTGGGTATCCTCTCGTGTTCCTGAGTGTGTGCCAGTGACATTTAAATAGATAGGTCCAGTTAAGGTTGGGTTTTTAATGCAATTCAAGCCAATAATTCAATTTCATTTGGATGTGAAATCTTTGTGCTTTCAATAAGCTGATAAACACAAATAAACAAGAGATGCCTAGTATTTCTTTTGTTTTCATATTGTAGAATGTTCAGAAATCTAATGAAGGAGGTAAGAATGTACTCGCAGAAGTTCATCGACAGAGGGAAGGATTTCAACCTAGAGCTAGCAATCAAGACTCGAATCATTACAGACGGTCTCAAGTACTCTCTGGCTACAGGAAACTGGGGTGACCAAAAGAAGGCTCATCAGGCTAGGGCTGGAGTATCTCAGGTTAGTGGGTTACAACTAGAGCAAACTTACCTTTCTTAAGTCTACAGGATTTGATAGCTCCAGTCATGGAGAGGTCAATACCATTTGACATCCACAGTGGACAATGAGGTCTAGAGTTCTGGAGGGATCGACAGTCCCAATCAGCAGTTAGTTCAAAATGTTTAACTTGTGTTGAATCTTTAACCTGTTAAGTTTTTAAATCACTGTGCAGATATTGTTTATACCATGGCAAATTCTTAGTGGAATTATTGAAAATGTATGTTACAATACATGTGTGTGGAGAGTATTGTGCTGAACGTTGTATTTTTATTTCCAGGTGTTAAATAGACTGACATTTGTGTCAACCTTGTCACATTTGCGGAGACTGAACTCTCCCATCGGCCGAGACGGTAAATTGGCCCGTCCACGACAGCTACACAACACACAGTGGGGAATGGTGTGTCCTGCTGAAACTCCTGAGGTAAGAAAGCAATTATGAAGACATGTAATTGGACTGGATATGTAAAACCGGTAAAATTAGGAGGCTTAACTACTGTTTATTGTGAAAACACCGCATCTTACTTGAAACATCCTTGGTTCCCCATATCACCAGATTCATATACAAAAAAGTGTTATTACTGCCTTTGTGTTATAGCAGTTTTGCCAATCAACCCGTCTTGGTTCATCTGTGAATGTCTTTTCTTTACCCATTTCACTCATTATTTGGACAGGGAGGTGCTGTAGGCCTGGTGAAGAACCTTGCCCTGATGGCTTACATCTCTGTCGGCTCTCAGCCCTCACCCATCCTTGAGTTCTTGGAGGAGTGGAGTATGGAAAACCTGGAGGAGGTTGCCCCATCATCTATACAGGAGTAAGGAAACCATAAAGTCTTGTTATACTACCACCATTTGTCAAGTAATTTTTAAAACTTCATCATGATAAGGCTTGAGCAGGTGCCTCTGTAAAAACAATAGAAAGAAAAAAAAGACCTTGAAAATGTTTTAAGTTGGCCAGGGAGAAATTAAATGAAGGGCTTTATATTGAGGTTTGCAGGTAGAATTTTGATTTCTGAAAATGTCATCAAAGGTGACATTAATTCCATGGGTAACTTTGTTTTCAAAATTGTTTATATCTGGAAGAAACTGGAAATGTAGTACAGCTGTTAGATAAAACTGAGTCAAATTAAGAAAAGGATTTGGAATCTCGAGTTAACAACTACAGTAACCAGTAAATGTTTGATATGACTTTTTTTGTTGTTAGAACATTTCTTGTGTTGCATGTCAATACAGTTACTGGAAAATATTATTAACTTGAAATTATCTGCAATCTTATGTTGCAAAATAAATATTTGATACTGTAATTTGTAGTAGGAATATTTCACTTCATTATATACAGGGAATACCTCTTGTTAGTTTAACTTTACTTCATCATATATAACAGCAGATATTGATATAAAAGGCTGAATTAACATGTGGCAAATATGGATCTTCAAGTGAAGGGCAGAAATTTTTCGGGGAAAGTTTCCTTGGCATAGAATATCACTTTGTTTAGTTTTATCTCTATGAAACAAGTGTTGTATTGATTTACTTCTCTGTTTTAGTGCTACGAAAATATTTGTGAATGGTTGCTGGGTGGGGATACACAGAGATGCTGAGCACTTGATGAACACACTGAGAAAACTGCGCAGAGAGATGGACATCATTGTGTCCGAGGTAAGTTTGTCTTAGTGAATACTGGCTGTATAACGGGAAAGTTTCTCCCAGTCAAATATTAGCCCTTCGTAGTTGCCTAGTGTTTACTTGTCCTTCATATGGATGCTATTACTATAGATTGTATTTGTGTTCTAATATTTACTGTTATCATAAATTCAACCTCATTCGAAGAGGCAAAATGTGGTTGCTTGCTAGGGATATATGTGCAGGTCTAGTACAATACTGTTGGAGCAATACTTGATAGGAAAATTTCCATAATAGGAAAATATGTTAATGTATAAGTACAGGGTTATATAGACCTAATTGTGATCTGTCTATCATTCTATAAGTAATGGGTTATATAGACCTAATTGTGATGTGACTATCATTCTATTTCTATAAGTATAGGGTTATATAGACCTAACTGTGATGTGACTATCATTCTATAAGTACAGGGTTATATAGACCTAATTGTGATGTGTCTATCATTCTTCTCCTGTGGAGGGAACTGTTCTCCAACGATGTTGTCAGTGGAGGTATAGTGCCCAAGTTGACTGACTAAATAATCCTTGATAGATTTAGTATGTTACTTGGATGGAATGTTGTGTATGGGGACAGAAGAGCCCAGACTGAAAACAGCTAGCAATTATACTAACTGCAAAATTGAAGAACAATGTCTTATTATGTTGGCTATACTATCTGCAGTAAATTCTGTTGTTTATTTAGTTTATTTAATCACTGAATTAAAACCACTCCAGCTTCAATTTCAAACTTTATTTAGTTTATTTAATCACTGAATTAAAACCACTCCAGCTTCAATTTCAAACTTAGCTGCAATATTTGAAGACAAGAATGACAAAAAAACCTTGCAAGACTACATCACCTGTTCAAGGATAATAATAAGTTAGTGACCTCATTTGACATGACATTTCACCAAATAAAGTTTGATGTTAAAATAATGTCTATAGTAAAGAAAAACTTCCCGCAGTCGAGGGGTGATGGCAACTGGCCATAATACCCTTAACACGTCAAATCACTATTCTAGAAATTAATCTGTGATGTACATATTTTACAGGTGTCCATGATCAGAGATATCCGCGACAGAGAAATCCGGATTTATACAGATGCTGGAAGGATCTGTCGACCCTTACTTATTGTTGACAATCAGAAACTTCTGTTAAAACAGAGTCACATAAAACAGCTTAAACAGAAGGAATACAACAGTTACAGGTAACAGTAGTTTCAGCTTACAGAGCAATTACAGGTAACAGAAATAATCACAGGTAACAGAGCAATTATAGGTGACAGAAATAATCACAGGTATCAGAGCAATTATAGGTGACAGAAATAATCACAGGTAACAGAGCAATTACAGGCGACAAAAATAATCACAGGTAACAGAGCAATTACAGGTGACAGAAATAATCACAGGTAACAGAGCAATTACAGGTAACAGAAATAATCACAGGTATCGGATCAATTATAGGTAGCAAAAATAATCACAGGTAACAGAGCAATTACAGGTAACAGAAATAATCACAGGTGTCGGATCAATTATAGGTAGCAAAAATAATCACAGGTAACAGAGCAATTACAGGTCACAGAAATAATCACAGGTAACAGAGCAATTACAGGTAACAGAAATAATCACAGGTAACAGAGCAATTACAGGTAAAAGAAATAATCATAGGTAACAGAGCAATTACAGGTAGCAAACATATTCACGTGTAAAAGAGCAATTACAGGTAGCAAAAATATTCACAGGTAACAGAACAATTATAGGTAGCAAAAATATTTACATGTAACAGATCAATTATAGGTAGCAAAAATATTCACAGGTAACAGAACAATTATAGGTAGCAAAAATATTCACATGTAACAGATCAATTATAGGTTGCAAAAATATTCACAGGTAACAGATCAATTATAGGTAGGAAAAATATTCACATGTAACAGATCAATTAAAGGTAGCAAAAATATTCACAGGTAACAGATCAATAGTTACAGATAACAGAAGCTTCAATTGCTGTACTCAATCTTAAAGCTGATTTAACCTGTACATAACTTACTGTGTGCTGTTCAGTGAGTGACATTACTATATAATTTGGACTAGAATAACATTCTGTAGCAGCCATATATCCCACACGTGTCACTAGAATTGGAAATATGTCCAGGCTCTATTTATAAAAATAATGATGGAGAAATGTATTTGGGGAGGTTCTGTGTCATTTTCGTCACTTTTCTAATTGACTAAACAAAAATTTTGCTACTTTTAAAGTTAACTTTGTTCATTAATATTGAAAAAATGGAACTTCCTCTTCTCTGGAAATAATTTATCACTCAATTTAATATATGTATCAGATAAAATAAAAATATAAACTAAAGAATATGATAAACAGGTTGTGAAAGTAGGCTATCATCAATATAGGTTAAATTCAAAGAAAATATCAAAACTTGTCCCCAAATACCCTGAAAAAGTCTGTCCAAACATAATAACTAGCTTACTTCACTGATGTGACTTATCATCTTTGACAGTTGGCAGGATCTGGTGGCTAGTGGGGTCGTTGAGTACATCGACCCCCTGGAGGAGGAGTCCATTATGTTGGCTATGACTCCTGATGACCTTTCTGAGGACAAGGACGTTCAGTACTGTTCTACCTATACTCATTGTGAGATCCATCCGGCCATGATACTCGGCGTGTGTGCCTCCATCATCCCATTCCCTGATCACAACCAGGTACCAAACACTAAATTTAGGCTTCTAGTATTTCTAACTTTAACTGTTATAAAGAAAAAGAAATTACATATTCATATCAAATATTAAAGCAGACTTCTCTTTTGAATTCATTATAGCATGATAAACTGTAAATATCACATTGAATAGGAAATCAGATATTTTTGTATGAAAAGCAAAAAGAATTATAATTCAGCTATTATTGAATTGGTGTCATGACGACAGGCCAAAAAATAAAATGGAAGATGTGATGTCAGTTTTGGTTTTCATTCGGTAATGAAAAAGATATTTTACTAACATGTTTGAAATTAAGCTTAGTATTGAATTGGTGGCTTCCAATGATCAGCCTGTTTTATTTCCTAAATTTTGAACAATTTTAGATTTTTTCTGATGTTGTAGTTTTTAAATATATACATTTGTGCTTGTATACCCAAAATGTCAACATGTTTTTTATCTTTAGATACTGTGAAATTTTCGATACTATGATCTTTGTCAGAAGTTTCTGATCAAATCCACGAGGTGACATTAAGAAGACCTTTTTCTTGATTGTTGGATTGGTGAATTGAGTTTGTTTTCTGTCCCCAGTCTCCACGTAACACCTACCAATCTGCTATGGGTAAACAGGCCATGGGTGTGTATATCACCAACTTCCACGTGAGGATGGACACTCTGGCCCACGGACTCCTGTACCCACAGAAACCTCTAGTCACTACTCGCTCCATGGAGTATCTCCGCTTCAGGGAGCTTCCAGCAGGTAACATTTCACCTGGACAGACTTATAATTAAGTCATTATTTTGTAGTTACTTTGCTTCAGAGGGCTTTTCCTAGGTAAAGATTCACAGACAGACATAGAATGCTTCTTAACAATTCTTACTTTGGTTTAGAGTAGATTTAAATCTAATCATGTATGTCTTACACATGAATATATTTGATTTGTTATGATAGGTCAGTGTATAGTCATACTACATGGTTTAATCTCCCTATATGAATTGTAGAAAATTTCATGTAAATTCATGTAAAGCATTAAAGCACTTATAGCGATTTAAAATATCATATAGTCAGTTATATGTTAATGTAAGATTTACATTTTGAATGAAACTTGATCATGAGTTAGTGCGTTCTTGCCAACAAATAAAGAGATGTCAGATAATGAAATTTAAAAAAAAAAAAAGTTGCTTACTTACAGTTGTGTAAGCACATGTGTAAAATAGTTGAGCATTATATTTTAAGAGTGATTCTATATTTCACTGGACAAGTAGTTGTGATATTATATACTGAAACTTTGTTACAGGTATCAACACAGTTGTCGCCATTGCGACCTATACAGGATACAATCAGGAGGATTCCGTCATTCTGAACGCTTCTGCTATTGAACGAGGCTATTTCAGGTATAAATAACAAACACTACATCGGACATTAGTTTTCCAGGCATGGTTATACTGATGTATGACATTGGATGGTGATCAGTGTAAATCAGTCAATTAGAAAGTAGGAATCAAAATATGTATAAACTATATATAATTTCTGTGAAATTGAAATATTTCAATATTTAATAGGAGTTCTAATAAAATGGTTCTAAGAGTCATTGTCATGTCTGTCCATACCATTATTATTAATAAAAGTGTTTATTCTTCAAAACAATATTACATTTCAGTTTTAAAGTTACAAGTTCAAGGGATATGAAACTTAGTGCAACTTCTACATGAAAATGTTGCTTTTTGTTGCAAAGTAGATTTGCAAGTACTTAGAAAGTCAAGAATTTGAATACATAACACAATTTTCATAAGAATAATATTTGTAAGGAAATCTACACCTTGTTTCCCACAGATCCTTTTTCTTCCGATCCTACAAGGATGCAGAGTCAAAGAAAGGACTAGACCAGGAGGAGCTATTTGAAAAGCCCGACAGAGAAAACGTTCAAGGTAATAACATTATTAGTGTTAATATGGGATTGTTATAACTTCAGACATGATCTTATATTTTTGTCAAGATTTTGCGACAGTGACTGTGACAAACCTGAAATCTTGCAAAATGAAATATTAATGTGGGAACATTTTCTCATTTGTACTGTTCATGTTTTGAAATTTTGTGTCCACCATACCGCTGTAACAAAGATTATAGTGTGTCGGTACATGCAGTCCTGTATGTTTTTGCACTGAAAATTAGTAAACACAAAATGAAAAAAACTTGCCACTTTAGCAGTATATTATTTAAACAAGGACACACATGACTTCTATATTAGGGTAATCCCTGTCCCTTTTCATAGACAATTGGTTGACACTAATGTTGGGTGTGTTATGTAACGCGTGTATGGTAATTATGTAACAGGCATGAGGCCAGCCATCTATGACAAGCTAGATGAAGATGGTATCATATCTCCTGGACTTCGAGTATCCGGAGATGACGTACTGATTGGCAAGACCATGACCTTGCCACCCAATGATGACGAGGTAAGATGGCTTCTGTGTTAAAACCCTTCACTTCCTGCAAATCTTAACTCAAATCATCTTGTTATGATAACATTTTGGAGCCATTTTGTTTTCGTTGATTCTCTAAAAAGACTCGGCTAACAAATTTGTTTTCAGTATTTCCTAGAAGGATTTAATAATATTTGGAAGTGTAAGAGGTAATTTTGCAGACCTCATCAAATCAAAAGGGGGAAATGCTGTGATATATATATAGTCGGTCGTTAATTTTATTTTTTCTATATATATATATATATATATATACACTCATACATTTCTTATTAATCTGTTTATAACAAATAATTATTTGAAAAATGACAATTATAGGTGTAGATTACTGCATGTTATTAAAGTTTGTATACTTTCATAGTGGAATTTCACGAATTTTATTGTAGAAATGTGTTTAATAGTAAATTCTTTTTGTGGCTTGATTCCACAGTTTAAAAATATGTGCTCATAACTTTTTCTCATTTCTGCAGCTTGATGCCACTGCAAGAAGATATTCCAAGCGAGATGCCAGTGTGTTCATGAGAAGGAGTGAGACTGGAATTATTGATCAGGTAAGTCTCCATATAAAATTCTGTCGGGGAACAGGATTTAAAAGTATTCAAAATGGGTTTATACTTTCAGAATATCTGCAAAATGGTGGAAATGAAAAAAAAAATCTATATACTAAGGATATATTCATATTTTATCAATTGAAATTAAAAAAAAACCCACACTTTTTGAAACTTGCAAAATTTTATAAAGGCACGTTTTCTGTATGATCTCTAGGGATTTTCAGTCCTGAAAAACTTAAAAACCTGTTAATGTAGACAAGGTTTATTTTTACATGTTGGCTATCCAATATGATGATAATGGCTTTATGGACTGGAGTCTCTGATCTTGTATATGATGATAGCCATTTCTGAGTTAGATTTACTATCAAATATCTCTATATTTCATCCTAAAGTTATGTTGTAAGTTTATAAAGCCTTTCCCACACGAGAATGGGCTTTTATTGCATGTCTACATCACAGGTGCTCGGGTTCTGGAATATGTGTGATATATTGTCGCCCCCCACTAGATATTGCACCCCCTTATACTAATAAATCATATGAGTTATTAGTATAAGGGGGTGAGATATCTAGTGGGGTTGGAGCACCTGTGGTCTACATAACTGGTGCAGTTTAATGAGAGTTATCTATCCTGAATCGGACAAACCACCAAAATAGAATTTCAAATTTGTTTGAAGTAAATTGACATCAGATTTACTGACATTACCTAGAAATTTTGTTCCCTACAAAACCATAGTTTTCAGTAAAATGTTATAAAGTGAGAATTTCTTTATAGAATCTATTTTTTCGGGTAGTTTTAATGTTATAGAGTGAGTTTGTTAACAAAATGTTTGGAAAAGATGTTCCTGCTGTACAAGTGTATGTTTCTATTTTCAGGTGATGGTCACTATTAACCAGGAAGGCTACAAGTTCTGTAAGATCCGTGTGCGAACGGTAAAGACACCTCAGATTGGAGATAAGTTTGCCAGTCGACACGGTCAGAAAGGAACTTGTGGAATCACATACCGACAGGAGGTAAACAGATGGTTCACAGTAGTGGACAAAATTAAAATTGATAATTAGAAAAATCACATAGGCTACAGTTACCCTACAGAGCTCTCAGCTTACTATTCATCTTCAGTATACAGCATTGGAAAAAATATTTGGTCAACTAAAAAACATGGTCTGAAATTTTGAAAATCCTTTATTTATTGGGTCAGTGCTGCTTCTCCCACCTTAGTTACTTACAGCTGTGCACCTTTAGTTACATATCCCACCTTAGTTACTTACAGCTGTGCACCTTTAGTTACATATAGATATGACATGGCTTTATGATTACATGCTGTTGTGCGCCTTATTTATAGATGGTTGTGTAACTGATTTGCATTAGTTGAGTAACTCGGTTACATATCGTTGTATAAAATATTAAACATAAACCCACAAATTCATTACCCATCAGGTAGAGTCATTAAGCACTATAGATTATAACTGAATTATAGTTTTGTTCTAGTAACAAAAAGTGAAAAGTCTTTACCCGGTGTAACTAAAGTGCTGTGAGGTTTGAAACTCTTCGTAGAAAATAATTTATGAAAACTCATTTGATGGTTAAAACTGGATCACATGTTTTAGACAGCAGATATACAGAACACATAGACTTATGTCCAGTTCTCACTGGGTCGTTGATCTCTTCTTCTGTGACCTAAGTACAGCATACATACTATCAATTGGCTATATATACAGACCTTTGTAAGTGAACCCTTCCTCTCATCAAATCTGTTTGTCCCTGAGTGCATGTCACATTTATATATTAACTTCAACCTACCCTGTCTCCGGGTCACATACACACATGTACGCTTAAACAGCACACGTAGAGGCACGTCCGTAAATGACCTAAGCTGTTAATAGGACGTTAAACAATACAAAACCAAACAAATCCTGTTTTATATACAGGGAAATAAATAGAAATGAAATTGGATGGACTTACAGGGTTTCACCAATCCTAGAGTTATAAAGGGTTGTTTTCCTGTTTCGCTGTAGTCTGCTGTTGTATAACATTGCTACAAGTTGTATGAACATAACTAGTGCTTCAATGTTATGGTAGATCAGTTTCAGGTCCCACCCAAGACTAAAAACAATAAGTAACAAATTCGAATTAGTTTATTATAAAGGGAAAATTAAGAAATTTTAGAAATCAGATTAAAAATTAGTTACAAATTTAATTTAATTGTCTATGGTAAAAAGAAATATTAAAAAATCTCTCAAATTAGAAATAAAATCGTGTATTTTGAATCTTAATAATATACTCTACAAAACAAACTAATGCTTTAATAGAAGAAAACTACAGATGACCAGGTACTATTTATGTATTTTCAGGACATGCCATTCACATGTGAAGGAATCACCCCTGACATCATTATCAACCCCCATGCTATCCCCAGTAGAATGACCATTGGCCATTTGTTCGAATGTTTACAAAGCAAAGTAGCGGCCAACAAGGGGGAGATAGGAGACGCCACGCCCTTCAACGACGCTGTCAACGTACAGAAAGTGTCGAACCTGCTCCACCAGTACGGGTATCACCAGCGTGGAAACGAGGTCTGAACCGTAGTGGGAATGATATACATGTAGGCTCAATGGAGTCTCGTAGAGTAAACTACAGGGAAATTATACCAGGTTTCCCCTGTAGGCTCAATGGACTCTCGTAGAGTAAACTACAAGGGAAAATATAACAAGTTTCCCATGGAGGCTCAATGGAGTCGTGTAGAGTAAACTACCGGGAAAATTATAACAGGTTTCCCGTGTAGGCTCAATGGATTCTTGTAGAGTAAACGACCAGGGAAATTATAACAGGTTTCCCATGTAGGTTCAATGGAGTCTTGTAGAGTAAACTACCAGGAAAATTATAACAGGTTTCCCATGTAGGTTCATTGGAGTCTTGTAGAGTAAACTACAGGGGAAATTATAACAGGTGTCCCGTGTATGCTCAATGGAGTCTTGTAGAGTAAACTGCAGGGGAAGTTATAAAAGGTTTCCCATGCAGGCTCAATGGAGTCTTGTAGAGTAAAATACACGGAAATTATAACAGGTTTCCCATGTACGCTCAATGGAGTCTTGTAGAGTAAACTGCAGGGTAAGTTATAAAAGGTTTCCCATGTAGGCTCAATGGAGTCTCGTAGAGTAAACTACACGGAAATTATAACAGGGTTCCCATGTAGGCTCAATGGAGTCTGGTAGAGTAAACTGCAGGGGAAGTTATAAAAGGTTTCCCATGTAGGCTCAATGGAGTCTTGTAGAATAATCTACAGGGAAATTATAACAGGTTTCCCATGTATGCTCAATGGAGTCTTGTAGAGTAAACTGCACGGGAAGTTATAAAAGGTTTCCCATGTAGGCTCAATGTAGTCTTGTAGAGTAAACTACAGGGAAGTTATAACAGGTTTCCCATGTAGGCTCATTGGAGTCTTGTAGAGTAAACTACAGGGGAAATTATAACAGGTGTCCCGTGTATGCTCAATGGAGTCTTGTAGAGTAAACTGCAGGGTAAGTTATAAAAGGTTTCCCATGTAGGCTCAATGGAGTCGTGTAGAGTAAACTACAGGGAAGTTATAACAGGTTTCCCATGTAGGCTCATTGGAGTCTTGTAGAGTAAACTACAGGGAAATTATAACAGGTGTCCCATGTAGGTTCAAATGAGACTTGTGGAGTAAACTACAGGGGAAATTATAACAGGTTTCCCATGTATGCTCAATGGAGTCTTGTAGAGTAAACTGCACGGGAAGTTATAAAAGGTTTCCCATGTAGGCTCAATGTAGTCTTGTAGAGTAAACTACAGGGAAGTTATAACAGGTATCCCATGTAGGCTCAATGGAGTCTTGTAGTGTAAACTACACGGAAATTATAACAGGTTTCCCATGTACGCTCAATGGAGTCTTGTAGAGTAAACTGCAGGGGAAGTTATAAAAGGTTTCCCATGCAGGCTCAATGGAGTCTTGTAGAGTAAACTAAAGGGACATTATAACAGGTTTCCCATGTCGGCTCATTGGAGTCTTGAAGAGTAAACTACAGGGACATTATAAAAGGTTTCCCATGTAGGCTCAATGTAGTCTTGTAGAGTAAACTACAGGGAAGTTATAACAGGTATCCCATGTAGGCTCAATGGAGTCTTGTAGTGTAAACTACACGGAAATTATAACAGGGTTCCCATGTAGGCTCAATGGAGTCTGGTAGAGTAAACTGCAGGGGAAGTTATAAAAGGTTTCCCATGTAGGCTCAATGTAGTCTTGTAGAGTAAACTACAGGGAAGTTATAACAGGTATCCCATGTAGGCTCAATGGAGTCTTGTAGTGTAAACTACACGGAAATTATAACAGGGTTCCCATGTAGGCTCAATGGAGTCTTGTAGAATAATCTACAGGGAAATTATAACAGGTTTCCCATGTCGGTTCAATGGAGTCTTGTAGAGTAAACTACCGGGGAAATTATAACAGGTTTTCCATGTAGGCTCAATGGAGTCTTGTAGTGTAAACTACACGGAAATTATAACAGGTTTCCCATGTACGCTCAATGGAGTCTTGTAGAGTAAACTACGCGGAAATTATAACAGGCTTCCCATGTAGGCTCAATGGAGTCTTGTAGAATAATCTACAGGGAAATTATAACAGGTTTCCCATGTAGTCTCAATGGAGTCTTGTAGAGTAAACTGCACGGGAAGTTATAAAAGGTTTCCCATGTAGGCTCAATGGAGTCGTGTAGAGTAAACTACAGGGAAGTTATAACAGGTTTCCCATGTAGGCTCATTGGAGTCTTGTAGAGTAAACTACAGGGACATTATAACAGGTTTCCCATGTCGGCTCATTGGAGTCTTGTAGAGTAAACTACAGGGACATTATAACAGGTTTCCCATGTAGGCTCAATGGAGTCTTGTAGAGTAAACTACAGGGACATTATAACAGGTTTCCCATGTAGCATGTCGTCAAGCTAAATGAATAGTTAAATGGTTTAAAATTCATTTTACGTGACAAATTATGAATTCAAAATTGCATACAAAAAATCCTTTTTGAACAAAATTTATTAACAATTTATTATACCAAAAGTTATTTAAATAAGCAGTTTTGGGGCTCTGCAATTTTCTTCTGTCTTGTAGCAAAACTGGAACAAGATAACGATCACGGAACACATGACTACCATGTCAATCACATATGTTTTCATTACCTAATACGTATTATATCAGTTTATTTTCAATGCTTAACATATGTTATTAATGACTATGAAGTTCTTATTGGCCAGACTGGCATGGTTTTCATTTGAATGATAACATTTAAACAATGATGTGGTATCACGATGTCTTCTATATTAGAATCTGGTGCTAGGTTTTTAAATAGAAATACTAACACTTTTGATATTTCGATACAGATTTTGTACAATGGTTTCACTGGGAGGAAGCTGAATGCCCAAGTGTTCCTTGGACCGACCTACTACCAGCGTTTGAAGCATATGGTGGATGACAAGATTCATTCCCGAGCCCGTGGTCCCCTTCAGATTCTCAATAGGCAGCCTATGGAGGGCAGAGCCAGGTAAGTGGGTGTATTGGGTTGTATACAGGATTACATGGTGACTCGTTATTTTTACCGTAAGCTCTAAACACAAAATCAACACAGGTACAGTTCTTGTGAGGTTACACAATAAATCATTACATTTATAACAGTCTCATAGTTGTACTGTTTATAAATAAGGTTATTTTATTGACCTGAATCAATGAAAATTTAGAATTCTACACTGAAATATATATGAGTTAAAACTTTTATCAGATATAAAAAAAATGGGTATTGGGATATTGAATAGTGGTGTTCTGATATAATTTTCCTCAGAATAATCCAATTGAAATTAACAAAATTGTTTTCGGACACACATTTGTCAGATCAAAAACAAAATGATTGATGTCTTCTCCAGGGATGGTGGTTTGCGTTTCGGAGAAATGGAGCGTGATTGTCAAATTGCCCACGGAGCTGCACAGTTCCTGCGTGAGCGTCTGTTTGAGGCGTCGGATCCCTACAGGGTACATTTGTGTAACTTCTGTGGAATAATTGCCATAGCTAATCTACGTAACCAGACGTTTGAGTGCCGAGGATGTAAGAACAAAACACAGGTGAGAAACACGTTGTCATGTACAAGTTTACTGTTTATTACCATCACTGTACATGTTTTATGTGTGGAAGTTTTGTCAGGATTGGATGTTAGAAATTTATAATCATCATAAGCATGCTAACACTTAAGGTCTAGGCATGAATTGATAATGCATAGTCTGCTAGTTGAAGTTGGAGGATGGAGGAGGGATCTGTTCTCTGTTCAAGGTAGAAAATCATTTTCGTCAAATCTAAATTAATGTTTAAAAAAGGGAGAAATAGCAGTAAAAACGATATATCTTTTTCACAGAATGTCAGAAGAATGCTACCTCTCTTTAATATTGTTGTTCTGATGTTCTTATGTAAAAGTTCTCAATTTATATGGGAAGTATACGTTTGACAAGAGTACATGAACCGTCACTGTACCCAAAATGAGACACTTATGGGAAAACAGCCCAAGAAACTTTCATTCAATGCAAAGAAATACTTTTATGTATACAGTTTCCATTAGATAATACGTTTATGACAATTTAACTGTATTTAAGCTTTATTGGCTGCTGATTATCGTTACATTGACAATTTAAAGTGAAGAATAATGACCAAAACAAACTTTTCCTGATTTACGTGCGACGCTATTTATTTTGATGTCATTTTCAGGGTCTATTTTATCAAAACTAATGTTAGTTTGGAGAAGAAATTAATCATAACCCTGTTTGAATCTAAAATATTTGAAATATGTCTTTTGCTGATGTTGATCGTTTATCCCCAAATATTAGCTCAAATACTGGAGTGTCCCTTTCAGGGTACAGTTACACCGGGTCAAGGACCTACGTAGCCATGATGGTATTTCTCGTTTTATTTATAGAACCATGCACCCGAAATATCAACTTGTAATAGGCACGAAAATTGGATAGTATCTATTTATGAAAAATGAACAAACATTTTTGGAACTGATATTATGGTATAAAGAACATTGATATTAATCTAAAAAGTGTCCCGGTGGTTGGTGATCATTGGTAGCTAAACAACTGTTTCACTTTTCCTATCTTCTCTGGTCTTAAGTGCTTACCGTAATCTGTAATGCCTAGTTTTGAACAGGCACTTATTAAACAATGTCTCTTTTAGCTTTTTGAAAATGAAAACACTGACATACATATTTTTTTGTGGGCCGAAAGAGGAAATGCAACAACTTTGGTGAACTTTGGTGAACCTTATGGTGAACTTTATCATATTTTGTAACTTTGACAGTCAAGTCCTGAACTCTGCACTTTAAAAAATAGCTTCATTTCACGTCAATAACTCTTTAAACAGCCCCAGCCAAAAAGCAAAACTGCTTTGAGCAGAAATATGCCCGTTTATAATTTCTATAATTACGTTTCTAAGTGATAATTGGCCTTAATGGTAACTGGATGATGCTTAACACTGCACCAGACACCAGCTCTTGGCATATAATGAATAATAAACACATTAACTCATTCACCCCCATTTTTTTTTTATAATAAACTATACCAACCTTTGAAGTGGAGGAGTTCAAACGTGTCTTCAGGGGTGAATGAATTAATGGTCCTATGAAACCTGTCATCAAAGAGTCGGGTACAAATGTACTAGATGTCCTATCTCTTCCAATTAAGTTAATGGATTATTTAATTAATTTATTGCTGTTTGATGTATGAACAGTTCAGTTTGTTTAACGTCAGTTTGAAAAAGAAATCTTTAGTATCGCTTTCTGGATTTTTTTTCTAGCAGTTTGGCGCATTTAATTTCAAGCTCATAATATGTGTGGTTTTTTTTAGCAGATCATTTTAAAAATGAGAAATTTTCATTGTTATATAGTACAATTTTGATTATTTATTTTTTATGATTAATATTCGATGCCATCAGATTTTTTATTGAGATTGATTTTTATATCCAGATAGTCAAGTTTTTATTGATTTCATTTCTATCAAATTTTAATTGTATTACTTCTGTATCAACCATAAAACAGTTTTGAGTTCAGTGTTAACTGTAATATTATATTATTGCACAGTGTAAGATACTGTGTTCGATTCACTTAGAATACATTGCACGCTGTGAAACAATGTCTCTAGCAAATATTGATATTTTTCATGTTACAAAATTTCAAGCCTTCTCAAAATGTTTATGGTGCCCTAGGTTCTTTACTAAACATTTTGTCAGGTCATACCAATGTGGAGTCGGTTACTGAATAATATTCACAGAACGAGCTTACAGTGTACTGAATACTGTTAACCAACATTGATAAAAGTTTTGTTCTTAATATATGAAAACTTTTTTACAGTCAACTTTTTTTGCTGTCATAAGTTAAATCGGAAAAGAATTCTGACTAAACATGAACTGCTCAATAAATTAGTCATAAATACACTGGTAAAACTGATTTTACTATAAACCGAAATGTGTGGTGATGTTATGGTTCATGTGTGGTGATGTTATGGTTCATTGTGTCGTGATGTTATAGTTCATGTGTGGTGATGTTATGGTTCATTGTGGGGGGATGTTATGGTTCATTGTGTGGTGATGTTTAGGTTCATTGTTTGGTGATGTTATGGTTCATTGTGGGGTGATGTTATGGTTCATTGTGTGGTGACGTTATGGTTCATTGTGTGGTGATGTTATGGTTCATGTGTGGTGATGTTATGGTTCATTGTGTGGTGATGTTAAGGTTCATTGTTTGGTGATGTTATGGTTCATTGTGTGGTGATGTTATGGTTCATTGTGTGGTGATGTTATAGTTCATGTGTGGTGATGTTATGGTTCATGTGTGGTGATGTAATGGTTCATGTGTGGTGATGTTATGGTTCATGTGTGGTAATGTTATGGTTCATGTGTGGTAATATTATGGTTCATGTGTGGTGATGTTATGGTTCATGTGTGGTGATGTTATGGTTCATGTGTGGTGATGTTATGGTTCATTGTGTGGTGATGTTATGGTTCATCGTGTGGTGATGTTATGTTTCATTGTGTGGTGATGTTATGGTTCATTGTATGGTGATGTTATGGTTCATTGTGTGGTGATGTTATGGTTCATTGTGGTAATGTTATGGTTCATGTGTGGTGATGTTATGGTTCATGTGTGGTGATGTGATGGTTCATGTGTGGTGATGTTATGGTTCATGGGTGGTGATGTTATGGTTCATGTGTGGTAATGTTATGGTTCATTGTGTGGTGATGTTATGGTTCATGTGTGGTGATGTTATGGTTCATTGTGAAAATACTTTGCTTGTTTCAGATCTCACAGATCCGTATTCCGTATGCCTGCAAGCTTCTGTTCCAGGAGCTCATGTCCATGAGCATTGCTCCGCGTATCATGGTTTTGGCACAATAGACAGAAAGCAGTGATGATCATAAGCATTGTGTGGAAGACTCCTACGAAGTTGTGTTGATCGTCACGTGTCACATTCAGATTGAAGTGACAGGGAGAGCCCTATCTCAGTATTTATTGACTTGTATATAACAGACTGGTGCAGTACAGTAAGTGAGAGCGACCACACCATATCATTGTGTAAATAGGAGAGGTCACTACGTGTGTGTACATAGCAAACTCATTCAGTGTGAAAGTGTTGTATGTTTGAAACATTGATCATGCTATTTTACATTTATCATGTCAGTTCCTCATCATATCGAAGGCCTGGACAGCTTTAGAAGGAGTTCATTTGTAAATATGTGTGTATAAAAGCTTTCAAGAAAACCTGATCGTTGCCCTTTATTGAAGGACAAAATATTGTCCTTATCACGTGTCTTTATAATGCATGTCAAAACAAGTTTACAAAATGTGAAGGACTTGATGCAGTGTTAAGTGTGTGTTCCCTTAAAGAGAGTGAGAGAAACGAAGGTTTGGAACTAGTGTAAACTGTGGATTTCCTTTTTAATAATGTTTAAACGAACTAAGTAAAGAAGCGGAGTTGACTGGATTGCCTTAACAGTCAGAACCAATTAACAACGGTGTTGGTTAGATTTCCTGAGAAATGTCACAGGAACTAAGGTAAGGAACTGCAGTGTGTTGTAGCCCTAAAAAGGTCGGAGAAACCCATAAAGGAGTTACAAGGTGGTTGGATGTATTGTCGAAATAAAGTATTGATATGTAATGGATTTGTTTGTTTTCATTTATTAGCTCACCTGGCCCTAAGGGCCAAGTGAGCTTATGGCATGGTGCGGCGAACGGCGTCCGTCCGGCGTCCGTCCGGCGTCAACTTTTTACTTTAAACAACTTCTTCTCAGTAACCAAAAGGCCTAGAGTGATGATATTTAGCCAGTAACATGCTGGGATGAAGGACTACCAAGTTTGTTCAAATAAATGACCTTGACCTACTTTCAAGGTCACAGGGGTCAAATATGTTTAAAACCTTTAAACAACTTTTTCTGAATAACCGAGAGGCCTAGGGGGATGATATTTGGGCAGTAATATGCTGGGATGAAGGGCTACCAAGTTTGTTCAAATAAATGACCATCTTTTTTCAAGGTCACAGGGTCAAATATATTCTTAACCTTTAAACAACTTCTTCTGAATAACCAAGAGGCCTAGGATAATGCCAGTAACATGCTGAGATGAAGGACTACCAAGTTCAAATGAATGACCTTGACATATATATTTTAAGGTCAAATATGTTTAAAACCATTGAATGACTTCTTCTTAATAAGCAAAAGGCCAAGGGTGATGATATTTGGCCATTAACATGCTGGGATGAAGGACTACCAAGTGAATGACCTTCGCCCATATTCAAGGTCACAGTGGTCAATATATGTTTAAATCTTAAAATGATTTGTTCTGTATAACCAAAAGGTCCAGGGTAATGATATTTTTCCAGAAGCATGCTGGGTTGGAAGACTATAAACTCTGTTCAACCTAATATTATAATGTCCTTGTTCGACATTCAAGGTCACAGGTGTCATATGTTTAAATCTTTTAATAGGTTCTTATGAATGAAACACTGATATTTTGCCTGTAACTGTATTTTAGTCCACTTTTAAGANTATTTTGCCTTTAACTGTATTTTAGTCCACTTTTAAGATTACAAGTGTGAGATTAATACCAGGTGAGCGATGCAGGCCCATTGGGCCTCTTGTTATAATTACAAAGCTTAATATCTTGAAGGGTTGAATGTACTTACTATATATATATTTTTAAATTCAAATGCAGACGTACTGTCAATGAAAGGATGAACTTAAAATGAGAAGTAGAAATGTGGAAAAACGTTGGCATTGTTGGGATTACAGAAATCTACTGTAAAAATGGTACAAATCTCTTACTGTTTTCACACTTAACTTCGCGAACTGATCGATGTGGTAGAGCACTGAAATTATATGCGTTTTCCTTAGAGGTTTACATCCTAAACGTGGACAACCACGTTCCTGTTCCTCCTCTTTCACAAAGTTCAGCAAAATGCATTAAAACTGAAACACCATATGTTAGAGAAGGAATGATGAAAAACTTTGTCAAAATATATGGAAACTAGAAAGGAAGAGATCAAAATGATTCTACACGAAACTTGTAAATAAGATTAAACGAATGTCAAGGAAATAGCGCTCATTATGGGAACTCCTAAGGGGGCTTGGAAGTACATTGAGTTTGAAATAAACATATAGCAACATCCCAGGCCGTTGAAAACGATACAAGGTATTAAAGTAATGAAGAGAAAGTCGATGTCATTCTAGTAGATTGGTCGTATAGTGCGTTAACCAAAACATCCACAGGAGAACACTCGTCACTGAAACGGCAAGTATCTATCCCTAACAATCTCCTAGAAAACATGGATTGATTTGCAAGTAAATATACAACCTAATCTGTTGAATCAAGTAAATATACAACCTAATCTGTTGAATCAAGTAAATATACAACCTAATCTTTTAAGGAACTCTGTTCAGTTCTGTGTCTTTCAGTCGTTTTGTACCAGTTCAGAGGTAGGAAGGTTATCAAAGCAATACACAAGAAAGGGCACCTAAATTGGTTTGTTAAGCGACGGATATATCAAAGAAAGGTTCATGAAGAACGGAGATGTTTAGAAAAGATCAAAATATCCTCCAACGTCTAAGAGTGGCCTGGACTAATGTACGATAGACCTCGTTTAGAGTGGTTAACACGTCGAACAGGTTAATCCAGCTAGCAGCCTGTCTTGCACTATTGAAATGTCGGAACCAAATGCAGACAAATAAAATGTATGCAGAATCCTTCAATAACGTTTGTACCGTAAGAAGTCGCAAACGTAACTTAACAGGTAGATAGGTAGAGGTACATATTTAGACGGTGTTGAAGACCAGTCTTCGACTATATGGTCATAAGGTATGGATAATCAAACCATGATTTCACACCTACATACATGGCTTATGAATGACATACTTATCACCTGACCTCCAAACTGTGAGAAAGATGACAAACTTTTTCTCAAAATAGTTACGTCTTTGCACACTGTCCGGTTAGATAATTTACTGGTAATTACGAATGCACATACATGTACTTCCTAACAAACCAGCAACTTGGGGCAGGAGTAGCGAGTCGAAAGCAAGGGACGGATATCTGTTGCCTATGCGTAACTATTTCGAGAAAAATTATGTCATCTTTGTCATAGTTCGGAGGTCAGGTGACAAGTATGTCATGCATACGTAGTGTATGTAAACGTGAAGATATGTAGGTCATGGTTTGATTATTTTTCAACAACCTGTTAGCATTTTCTTCAAGACAATTTTGTATCAGAAAAAAAGCGAAGAAATAACTGAAAATTATATATTTTATTCAACTATAAGGTGCAATATCTGACTGTTGAGATATATATTTATCACAGAATATTTTAAGCACACCAAGACCAACTAAAACACTTTTTACCAATAAGCTGCGTTTCTGATTGTGAAAATATAGAACTATCAATATAAAAATATGTTAAAAAAGACTAATATTGCTTTCATCAAACAAAAGTAGTGAACCATAAGGATCCGTGTCCCAGTGCACTATGTTTTTGTATTATAGACCGTTATCTCCACTTAATTAGTTTTGGATAGATTTATAGCACAGTTGGGCTAGAAGACCTCCGTTGAATAGGTAGCTAAGTCATAAGAACGATATAGTTTAACAATCTGAAGTCCAATGTACGAATCCTTGTCTAGGCCCGTTTTTAGCTTATGTCATACCGCAGCGTCCGTCCGTCGTCCGAAAAATATAGCAAACCTCTAAAATCCTTCTTCTGTAGGAATGCAAGGATTTGTTCCATATTTGGTCTTAAGAATCCTTGGGCGAAAGGGAATCAATTTTGTATAATCCGTTGGTCTGGTCCGCCAGGGGCCTGAGGGGTGGGGCCCAATAGGGGAAACAGCAAATTATTCTTTAAAATCCCTCTTCTTTGTAGGAATGAAAGAATTTGTTCCATATTTGGTTTGGAGCATCCTTGGGTGAAGGGAAACCAATTTTGTATAAACGGTGTGTTTAACCCCCCTGGAGGCAGAGAGGCGGGGCCCAATAGGGAAAATAGAGGTAAAACCTTTAAAATCCTTATTCTACCATAGGGATTGAGGGATTTTTTCCTAATTTAGTCTGGAGCATCCTTGGGCCAAGGGGACTCAATTTTGTATAAGCAGTGGGAGTGGTTTCCCAGGGGGCAGAAGGGCGGGGCCCAATAGGAGAAATAGAGGTAAAACCTTTAAAATCCTTCTTCGACCATCGGGATTAAGGGATTTTATGCATATTTAGTTCGGAGCATCCTTGGACCAAGGGGTCTCAATTCTGTATAATTGGTGGGTATGACACCCCTAGGGGCATGGGGGTGGGGCTCTGTTTGAAGTTTGTTTTAGTATATCTCAAGTACTGGATGGATCTTTCTGAAATTTCATATGTACTTACAGTACCATGGAGTGCTTCATCTTTTCTTCATACCAATTATTTTAAACATATTCAGGTGAGCGATACAGGCCCTCTGGGCCTCTTGTTTAATTTGTACGCAGAAAACTGTTCTTAATTATAGTTTGTGTATTTCGTCAGTTTTATTTACTCATAAAAGTCCCGAAATGCATGATTTTCTTTTTGGAAATTATCAAAACCAAAGTCAAGCAGAAAAAAGTTTTCAATGAGTAGTTACATTTTTTGTCAGTGGGACGGGCATCCTTAAATAAAATAGAAATAGAAATGCTTATATAGTTGAGATATCTCCAAAAATCTCAGCTCGTGACAGAAACGTGAAAATAACAATGTCCATCAGATTTAACGACGAAAGTAAGGGTTTATATTTCTACGTGATTGGCACTTTTCCACGAGATGACACATTTCAAGGTGTCGTTACTGTTTTTAGCCCACCATCATCTGATGGTTGGCTATTCAAATTACCCTGCGTCCGTGGTCCGTGGTCCGTCCGTTCGGACGTCCGTCGTCCGTCCATAAACAATTCTTGTTATCGGTATTTCTCAAGCAGAACAAGTGGGATCTTTCTCAAATTTTATATGTAGGTCCCCCTTGGTCCTAAGCTGTGCAGGGCAACTTTTGAGACTGATCGGATAAACAACAAGGCCGACAGGCAGCCATCTTGGATTTTGATAGTGAAAGTTTTTTATGGCTATTTCTCAGGAAGTACTGGAGGGATCTTAAAGTGTATATGCAGGTTCCCCTTGGCCCCCAGCTGTGCAGGGCAGCTTTTGAGACTGATCGGATAAATAACATGGCCGACAGGCAGCCATCTTTGATTTTGATAGTGAAAGTTTGTTATCGCTATTTCTTGGGAAGTACGGGAGGGATCTTTCTCAAATTTTATATGTGGGTTCCCCTTGTTCCCTTGTTGTGCAGCAGTGCCTGAAATGGACGGTCGCCTGCTCGCCAATGGCGATTAAAGTCTTGATCGAGCGACCAAAAGTTGTCAAAGGTGAGGTAGTCACTGGCCCAACAAAAATAATGAATAAAAGAAATTATAGTCCCTTCCACATTAAGGGGGGAGGGGGGGGGGGGGGCAGTACATTTTTCAGTTGTCATTACTTCGATTTGAATCGAACTACCCGTGATTTAGAAAATGTGATGATTTTTATTTCAGATTTTCTATATAAATACTGCCAGGGTGTCTTCTTTGAGGTGCGAGTTTTGTGTATTTCTCTGGAAAATACTAAAGACCTGAATGGA